CCCAGTGTGTCCTGGTGCCTGGGGCAGGACTTTGCACTTTTCCGTGAGCTTCACGAGGTTCCTGTCTGCCCGTTCGTCCAGCTGGGAGATATTTGTCCAGGTCCCTCTGGATAGCAGCACGACCCTCTGGCACATCAGCCACTCCTCCCAGTTTTGTGTCATCTGCAAACTTGCTGAGGGTACGCTGTGCCCCATCATCCAGTGCATAAACGAAGATGTTAAACAGGACTGATCACCACCCTCTGAGCCCGGCCCATTGAATGGTAAATGATGTAACGCCCACAAGGGCTTCACTCTGCCACCTCTGCCAGGACGTACCCTGTCTTAGAGCTGGCATTGATAACAGGGATGTTATTTGCATTTTCTCAGAAACCCAGAGGTTTCACTCTTAAGGCTTTTAAGCAGTTCTGTACATTTTCTTGTCCTCTGCACTGATAAACGGAGATTTCAATTTCATCAGCAAGAAAAAAGTTCATTAAAGTCATGCTTTTAGGATCTGATGTGACGTTCCTGTGAACTTTAATGCTTAGCTAACAGCTTTAGAAGAGATGTGTTTTCTCTCATTTTTCCCTTTCTAAAAATAAAACCCGCAATTCTTGGAAGCCTTTTTCCATCATCCCTTCTGACCTCTGTAGCACAAATTGCGAGCTGTTTCTGAGTCAGTTCACAGGGTCGGTCAGAGTTCATTTCTTAGAAAAACACACATTCCACCAGTTGTCCTGAGACACTGCTCTATGTGATTCAGAGATGAAGTGAATAAACAAATGGTACATGATTTTTAGTTTGGATTTGTCTGACTTCAGCTTTCATCCACTGGATCTTTTTAGATCTTTATCTACCTGACAAAGAGGCCTTGATGGCCATGGGCACTTTATTGCTATAACCAGGCCACCTTTTAATTCTTCTTTCACCAAATGGATGGAGCAACTGGAATCTCATGTTAAAGTTGTTTTCCAAACCTGAGGTGGGTCTTGTGGCTCTTCCCTGAATGCATTACAGTTTATCAGAATTTGAGTTCTGGACACCAGGACTTGTACTACAGGCTACTAGCAGTAGTACCTCTGAGGGAGACACAGATAGTATAGCCCCAGCCAGTCCTTGACGTGTTCACCTCATCTTCATACAATCCATGAATCTCAGGAACAGAAGCAACGAACGTTTCTGTTCTTCAGCCTTCCTCTTTGCTTCTGAAGAAACGTTCCCATAGCCAGAATTTAGGGACTGTTCCTGCATCACTTTCCATCTGGAGTTTCATCTCCTGTCGCCATTGGCAGAAGGCGATCAGTACACTCAGAGATCAAATGGAATTATGAAACAAGATTCCTTCTCTGTTGTCCCATTGCCAGTTTCAGCTTGTACTGTGAAGGTGTGTAAGCTTTTAGGCAATCGCTGTGCGTGCATTGCCCATCTGTGTTCATTGGGTTTTACAATACACACACCACCCTGGAGCAGGAACAGGAGTCTCTGCTACCTGGTGAGGTAACAGCATGGAGTTTGGAGCCATGGCTGCTAAAATCTCTGCCTGTAGTGGAGCAGCTTCTGTGGGACAGGAGGTGAGGAAGCCTTCCCCAGCCTGCACGAGCTTTGTGTCTAGCTCGTGCCCCTGGGATGGGGCAGCTCAGCTCACTCTGAGCACGCTCATAGTGCTAACTGGGCTCCTAACCCTGCCTTGTACCCTGTCTGACTCCTTTAGGGACTTAATGCTGAAAATCTGGGTACTAGTGTCCATAGCCCTCACCAAATAAAACCCAACTCCAAAAGCAGATCAGAAATAGAAGTACCTTTTTAGTAATGGTTGAGAAGTTTTTAGCTTCAGCTCATGATTTTAGAACATTCTGATGGCTTGTTTTCTGGAGCCACTGGAAAACAGCTCATAATTTCAAACCACTGATGTGGTTGGGCACTATTATCTTCCTTTACCACAAACTCCTCTCATGTTCTGTGCTGTAGGAGGCACAGTAATTAATTTCATCTGCAGGTGAGAATCCTTAGTGGTATTTTGTACACCTTGGTGTGAGTGGTGCTAGTTCTGTCGCCTTGCAGATTGTTCTGTAGCTCAAGAAGGCAAATTTCCAGGTATTTTGAAGCAGTGATGTATTCATGGGTAATCATTCACATGTAACTGTAATTGATTTATATTATTTAGATAAAGGAAAAATCCTCTTCTGATGTTACATTAACGTACTTGTTTCTTCTTCTAGAAAACAGAACTGAGAATTGATGACTTGGCTCAAAGACTGCTAGGAGAAGATGGCCCTGGAAAGCGAAGGAATTCTGAATTCTTACAGAACCTCAGGATCTGGGATGATGTTCCTTCTGTTATAGTAATATTTGTACTACCTTTGAGCTGAACATTTAAGAACTAACATTATTGATACTTGAATGATTCGCTGCTCCTAGGTTACGAATAAATTCAGTAACTCCATCCTTAAAACCACACGAACATTAATTATTTTGGAACTTGCTCGTGGATGGGCCTTTAGTAATTACTAGTCTTGCTGATGTCAGATAATGGAGAAAATATCTTTGTAAAAGAATAAGTTAATAATATGCAAAGCTGTCACTTCAGTATAGAAATAATGTTACAATCAAAATATCCTTACCTGTTTTTCCACAGGTTTACATACTACGAGATGAAAGCACTAATGAAGTATGAATTCAATACCTTGTAAGCTGTTGGAAAAATACAATATAGCTCTTAGGAATTCAGCTGGTTATTTTTGCTGCTAAACCAGTGTGAGACGAATTTCCTTGTAAATTGATCAGAAATGAAGTGGGATGCTTCAGTTATCCTTTAAGATTGTAAAGGAGGTTTTTGAATTGTTATGTCTTGGAAATTGGAGCTGTTAGTAACAGAGGGATTGTCAAACACAAGTTTGCAAGTGGCGCGATCCATCTAAAGCAAGGGATCCATCTAAAAAGGCTGCACCTTATATTTTTAATTTTGATAATTGTATTCTTGTTGACAAGTTTGTTTTAACTGAAATACATAGTAGAGGCACAAGGTGCTTCAAAATGAGATGAAAGCCAGCTCTGTAAGTATGTCTCTGAGATTTTACAAAGCTCTGTGCGTTTTAAGTTTTCTTCTGTCAGTTTATGTCAAATTGAAAAAAAAAATCTTATCTATCCCTCATCTGTTGTACACTCTTCCCCACTCACACTAGGAAAAATACTAGTTCTGCTATTTTTCCCTCTTATCCTTCTACTTTCTTTCAAAACAAAACTTTTAAGCTAATTTTGGTACCAATTCTTTTTCTTTAATGGAATATTTATTAACCAGGATACAGCCAGAGTTGTGCATATGTAGATAGATCAATGCATATGTAGCTAAATTGTCCAAATTTCTGGGAAAGAGAAGTGCACTAAAACTAAACTTGACAGAAAATGAAGACATTCATTTGCTATAAAGAAATAAGCCATCACATAACCTGTGCTTAAGATTTGAATCTTCAGAAATGTCACTGTATTATCGATGCACTTTCATTCTCCATCTGCACTAAATATTGCAAATCATTCTTGAGGACAGCTATTTTCTGTCCTTCCTGAAAATCTTTTTATAGTTTGAAAAGCATTTTTACAGCTATACTGTAAAAAAAAAAAAAAAAAAAAGGAAAGAAAAAAACACCACAGAATTTAATGTTTGTCTTACTGGGGCAATTATAATTTTAAGTCTTTTTTTTTTTCTAATAGTTATTTTTCCTTCTTCTGATTTTCTTCTTGTAAAGCTGAATTTTGAAATAAAACGATCAGAACATCTGTGAAGACTGCTGTAGCGATCGAAAAGTTTCATCTGCCAGAGGTCAGTTTTGGCATGAGATGTACTGAAAACTCAGGTTTGAACAAATCTTATGCTGGAAGGGAAGTTCTACTGTGACCTGAAGCCATTGTGCCTGTAGCTTAAAGTCCTCAGAGTGATTGATTTACTAAAAAAACAACAAATTCTTACATGGGAAGGATGCTCTAGTTTGAAGGTCACTTAAAAACCACACAAAACTGGTAAACCCTGAAGCAGCACGTCTTCTGACAGGATGAAGCACCGCAGAGTGCCTCTCCCAGTTGATAACCGTGTTACGTGTAGGTGTCCAGCTTCTAGAGATGGTACAGACATTCCCAAAGGTACTTAACCGTTAACTTCCCACTGAAATAAATGTAGGCATGTGTTATCTGTGTTATTTATTAATGTTTCAATAAATCAGTCCTTTAATATTTTGTATTTAATCTTGAATTTTCTTAATGGCTGGTAAAAGCTGCACAGTGCTTTGGTGGTGCAGAACTTGTTGGCTATGTGTTGAAGCAGCAGCTGCGGTCTCAGGGCTGTAACACAAAGCAACATCGCTTCTACAGCTCTTCACTTGTGACTCCTGCAGGGCCTCAGCGGGTACAGGCACCTCAAGGTCACTGTAACTGGTGGCCTGGTGCAACTTGGATGGATTTCTAGTTAGCTGATAGTGCACCATAAAGGTAAGGGAGATATATTTGTCCTTTGCCAGAGGACCAAGAGAGCTTTAACTTGGAGATGGTGGTGTAAGGAGAGCACTGGCACATGTTGTGCTAGCTGGTACTCGCCTCAGAGGGGCTGGCAGGCAGAAGGGTTTTGCCTGGCTCTAGGAACAGCTGAACACCTGCTGCATTGTTGAAGCAAAGGTGCAGCAAGCTTCCTGCAGCAAATCCAACTTCAGCTCAGAGGCCAGGCTTGTTGAAAGCACAAAGGCATTCCACTGTCTGTGAAGCATTCAGTCAAGGACTCCGAAGAGAGGCAGTTCTTTCATTTTTTTCCATTTACATATAACATGAATGCTTTTTAAGGTGTCTTCTTAAGATGTCACTGCAGAAGCTTTTGCTTTCTCCTTAACACTATTTCCCTACTGATTCTCAGAATCTTCACTGGGGTAGGGAAACAGGGAGGGGCTCCTTTGTGTAAAAACAGGCACCTGCCCCCCTGTACACACCTGCGAGAGGGCCAAGAGCGTAAGGCCTCTTTAAAGACAAAAATACAGAAGTAGGCAACAGCAGAACTGCAGTATTTTATTATTTTATATACATACACACACACACACAAACCTGTGCAAAGTATTTTTTTCAAAATTTCTGTAGACAGAAAAAAATAGTTTACTAGAAGAGTAACCAAACGTGAAACCTGAGCATGCTGGAACAGAAGCTTACCAGCTCGGGAACATATCGGCATTTCAGTGCTTGGGCATCCAAAACTTGTGCAGTGTTCAGGCAAGCCTAACAGCAAGTTAGTGGTAATAATTGTCCAAGAGTGCTATTTCTGTGGTAAAAACTGTAAAGATCAGGAATTAATACTTCTCCAGCTGTGTAACAGCAGGTCAACTGTCCTCCGGGATATCCTGGATGCTACAGTTTGTATGTCCTTCCATGACACCAGGTCAAACACTCCAGCTGTTACAAGCGATAGGCCAGAGCTTCTAGGGGCCAAAATTTTGTTCCAGCTTACGCAAATAGTTGTAATTGATTACTAATGGGAAGAAGCTTTAAAGCACTTTCAGCTACATTTGATTACAACTCTTCATATTTTTCCTGGACTATTTTAAAAGTCAAGCAGCAAGTGTGGGGAAAAAAGTGGCATTAAGGGTTAACAAGGAGGTTCTCTGAGATGACGCATGAAGAACACATCTAGGATACACCTTTTTATAAAGCAAAAAACCCCACCACAAATATAATATTCAACTCCCAAGTTTGCTATGAACAGGGTGAATACAAGATATCAAAGAGAATGGGGAATTAGTAACCTTCAGTGCTAATTGTACACAGTTTAACAGGTGAAGACAGCAGCGGACATATGCTGCATTTACAACTATCTAACATTAAACATGCTGATTCGTCAGCTGGCTTATTTATGGTCTACAGGATTTATGGGTTTGTATTGCATTATAAAACTACGGTAGAAGAACCATAATTTTATTTTAGAAGGTTTGAGGTTAAGAGCAAACGGGTAAGTCAATACAGCTCTTTATGCACAGTGTTCTGGTGCTCTGCATAGTTACATTTGCATTAGATTACTTAGTCTGACTTCTGGGTGGCTCTGTAACTCCTGGCAGTTGGTTAGGAAAAGTTTAGATAGAAGCTTACTTGACTTCTGCAGCTGATTAACAATTATTTCAAGGAGTTAGAGGCTATTTATCTTTAAGATGTCATACCACTGTAACTACTCCCTGTAGGTATGCACTATATACGCACTATACTGAAAAATGGGAACAGTCTGTAACCATTTGTAAGGGTCTGAATAACACTTGTGGTGCTCAATTTGCATAATTCCCACAGTTTTAGGGAGTATTTTTCTCAGCATGAAACTGACATTCATTCCTGTAAGACTGGTTTAAGAAAACTAAACTGAAAAAACAACAAACCCACACACCACATAAATTGCATAGTAATTATTTAAATAAGGATATTTCTTTTTCATTTTTAAGGATGTATGTATTCCAACTATACACAGGAAAAACTTGTGTTTTCAGTAAAATGGCAAGCTAATGAACTTCTGATCATTCGAAGAATGTCATCTATGGATCCTGCTACAGTAATGTATTGCATTGAATTCCTCGCACATTTTCATGTAGCATCACTTTCAGTAAGATTCAACAATTTAAGAGTCTTCAGAAACTTACGTCTGTCACGAAGAGAGTGAGAGTCACTATATGTTGTACACAGCCTTCCACGATTCTATTTCACTACGCAAAGCACCAGCTCTAGGCATGATAAACACTGAGCCATTAAGAATTAGCTCCTTAGGTATTTTGGAGAACTCCACTCCCCCTGCCAGCCCCATGCCTTTCCCAAGCTATCGGAAAAGAAAGCAGGAAGCCTGATGATGGAGTTCTGAGAAAACACTGCTCGCTAAATCTTGTCTTACAAGAATCAGGGCAGTGAAGAGACAACTTAATTCACCTGCATGAAGGGTCAACTCAGGAAATTCAGAAGTCACTTAGCAAAAGTTTGCAAAATGCCTGGCTTCTAGCATATGGCCACTGGCTGGCACCACTGATCTTAATTTAAGAACTACAAACCTGAAAAATAAATCTGCAGGACGTTATCTGAGAAAGCAATACCTACGCAAGAAAAATATTAAAGAAGATAATTTAAACAGAATTACCTCCACACAAACCTTTAAGATTTCGGAAATGCAAACTGTGTTACATTTTAAGAATATATTTAAATAAGCTTCCCTCTAATTAGAATATACAATACTGAATATACATTTGTAACTCAAATTCTTGTGAAATCTCAGATCCGGTTGAGAGTTTACAAAACAGTCTGTTAATTTGCAACACATTATAGTCTTTAACATACAGCAGCTTCAGTATGAGTAATACTTCACTTGTTGGCCAACACTCAAGTGTGTTTTGTTTTCTGTCATCTGACATGCCCAAACACTCAGCATTTTCTATTTAAAACAAGTAATTGCTAAAATGTAGGCCGTTCTGTCCATCTTCCTATAGCATCAGCGGTTACAAGGCAACAACTTTAACTGCATTTGCCTAACAGAATGGGCTCAACTCGACTTCCCCTACACCATTTGTCCAGGGAAGGATAATTACCAGCAGAACTGCCGTCAATCTTTACTACACTACACATGCCATGTATATAAGGCTGAGTTAACTTTGATCAACGCAGTCTTAACCCTTCTGGAGGTAAGGCAAACAGAAATAAGATATTTCAATGCTGCAGTAAGGTTTCTGCTGTCCACTGTGAACAGAAACATCAGTTTTGCACAGTGGTCAAAAGACTAGTCCCAAGCAGTCAGTACAGTGAACCACCAACAGGTAAGTTACATTTAGATGCAATTAGCATAAATTTATGTCCTTCCCCTGTTACTGTAAAATAACTTCCCACATCCTAGTCAGAATTACTCATCGCTATAAAAAAAGCCCCCACTTTTGCCAAGGCAAGTGTTACTACCCCTAAAAAATACAACACTCCGGCCTCTCAGTAAGGTGCAGTGACATAAGAAGTAGCAAGGCGGCAGCTAAGTTTCATACAGTAGTTTCACTTCAGAATACAATAATAAAAGCAGACTGGTAACTTAAAACACTCTAAATTTGTCAAGGACACTTGGTTAAGAACATACTAGTGTTATGGAACAATCTGAAAGTGTGCAAATAACACGGAGAGTTCACTTATCTTGGTGCTATAGGCTAAATCCAGACACAGTCAGGTGCTGAGCGTTATTCCTAGCCTCAAAGTACGAGGTATCAGTTTCATCATTGGGCTGAGGGATGAACGGCATCGTCTGATTCTGTAGATTATCCCAGTCTACTCCATGAAAGAGGGGATGAGGTTTCAGTTCTGAAATAAAGGTTTTTATAAGTGTTAGAAACTTCCTTCTGCCTTACTGTCTACCATCCCCCCGCCTTTTTTTTTTTTTCCCCTAAATTCAACACAAGTGCAAGTTTTAATTAGATATTGGTTACACATGCATGGTGGGGTAAAGGTTTCACAATAGAGCATCACGCAAACTTTAAGCAACACTTCAAAGTCAGTTTCTAGTTTTGTGTAAATCCTGTGCTGAGTAAATGTGTGGGAGCCAGTCCTACCCTTCACCCCAGACCACCCGCCTTTTGCTGTCCCATGGAATAGTCCTTTTCTGCTTTGTACAGTCCCCATATCATAGCTTTCTACCACCAGAATTCAAGTTCTGGTGGTATGAAAACTCCTACACAGAATTGAAGTCACCCCTACAGGCAAGTTACCACAGAATGCTGGATTCCTCTTTCCCAGTGTAAAGGTGGGATAACTAACTGCAAGACCAGAACTCCCCTGCTCTGTCCATTCTGACCAGAAGACAACTTCCTTGCATGAAGCACGTGAAGATACCTTTCGCATAACCTAGGAACACCACTCCCTGATGAAAGCAACCTTGCTACTTTGAGCCAATCCAAGAAAGCACCTTCTTAGCTCAGGGGGATACAAACCTACGTTTATCACCTGTACCCACAGACACCAAAAGCTATCAGAAAAAAATAGGACAGGTAAGAATCACATTTAGGAGGTGCAAGTTTGCTCAAGACAAACACTCACTACAAACTTTAAGTCCATACCGCTGGCTTTTAGCTGTTAGGAAGTTGTTAGCTGTTAGAAAGTGTCAACCCCTGCTTACCATTCCTACATTTCCTGATCAAATAACATGGCATGATATTAAAGTTTATTATAGACAAAAGACAAGATAGCAGAGGGTTAGTCTTTTAACTCCTAATTGATTCAGCTACTACACTCACATTTCCGAGAACTTTAGACTGGAATAAACCATTATGTCATCTAAATATAAGTTTGTAGGCACCACAGGCAGTTAGGTTTCACCCTATTACCCAGGCTAAGGACAATAATTTAAAATACCCTCAAGACAACAGACGCTTTTTGGCGGTCATTAAAAGGCCAGAGAATTCCCTGTGACATTATGAGCCTCATTTGTAAATGTGTTCCTACTCTAATTTGTACTGGCTTTATTTCAGCTCTTAGCCTTTAGTCTGAGTAACCATTTCCATAATGATTTGTTCTCCAGCGATTCCTTTGGCAATTCTCCAAGATTTTGTCCCCTTCCTAAAATATCTCACCCTATAGGTTTCCTTCCCTGTTATCAAATTCATATGAAATATATTCCCTGTTACAACTGCAAGTGCTTAAGTCCCCATATAAGGGAAAAATATACTGTATACAAAGTGCATCTTGTAGACAACTCTGCCTTCCCTGTACATTCAGAGATAGCCTGGCTCTTAAGAAAAAAATCTATTGAATTATCGTTTGAAGGATGCTTCTCTACCAAACTACAGAAACCTTGATTAAAAGCCTAAAATCAGTTTTGTCTAAATCCCCCAAGTTGCTGTTATTGAACTGGATAACAGAGTGAACTTTAGTACGTCAGATGTCAAATACTGAACATCCATCGCAAAACAGTCTTAAAGAAAAGTGTTAAAAAACCCACCCCAACCTCCCCCAAAACTTTCCTCCTTCAAAAGGGTAAACTCCTGCAAGAAATACAGAAAATATCCCAACTTGCTAAGTATTCTGGCATTATATATGAACGCTAAGCAGGCAATAAAGTTTATTGATTTAAATTTCAATAGGTGGGCACCACGTTGAAAATTTTAATTAGTTATAAAGAACACAAATGAAGTTTAATACTAACCCTTCAGTCCAGCTCTCTTAGCACTATCAATTGTTAGAAGAATATCTATTGCATTTTGGGCATTATCAGACAATTTTTCTTCACCCTCTGGCCAGGGAATATCTACAAAGATAGAGATAAGTAAGTAACTTAAACCATAAAACAAACTTTGAAAAAAAACAAAAACAAAACAACAAATTATCCAATTCCTGAAACAGATTACCTCTTTTCAAAATGTTTTGGAAGACTTGTGTTGGTGTTTCATCATTAAAAGGTGGAATTCCAGTCAGAAACTCAAACAGACAAACTCCAAGAGCCCACCAGTCTACAGCAGCACCTGAGTGAGAGAAATTGAGGCTGTTACCATTAAAACTATCTTCATATATTTGCAAGCATATGAACATCAGCTATGGCAAAGTTTGAAAATGTTTGTATCCTGCAAAACTTCTTGGAAATTAAAGAAGAAAAGATTGTCAACTTCTTCTTGACAGTTATGCAGAAGATGAAAAGTATTAAAGGGCTTCTTTAAAGTCACCCTGATCCTTAATTCCTCACAGTTAATGCCAGGGTTTACTGATAGTAACAGGGGTGCTGATTCAATTATCAGCTCTTCAACATAAATTTCAGGAGCTGACTTCTCCACAAGCTGCCTTTTTTTTTTTTTTTTTTTGACAGGAGAAAGTTGTCTTAGATAACTCCTCTAGTGTCTAGATGAATGCTTCATGTTGTAACCCCATAGCTTTCTCTCAGTTCTTTGAGAACACTCCAAAAATTCAGAGTTCTAACTTAATTTTCATTTGCCTAAATTTATGCCAAAAATATTGAAGGCAGCTTGCAGGGACGAGGCAGCATGTGGAAAAACTGGAATTACTTTCCATCACGTTGATTAGCGCAATGTGTAATTACTAGTACTCTCTCTCTCCTTTGTTATTAAGTATTTTTTCCAAGTTCTGGATCTTGTAAAATTCATCTTAGTAAACCATTTAAAAACAGGCAGGCAAAGCAGCCCCAAACACCACTGCATGCGCTGTAAGCTTTCTGCATCTGTACCACTGTATAAAGAGCAGATGCCAAGCCTGCAGCAAAAAACCGAAACAAAATTAAAGTGTAAATTTTTAAAGCTTTTGTTTTGTTATTAAAAAAAAAAAAAAAAGCATTCTCAGCCATTTCAAAATGACTACTTGACTAAGTTTAGAAATGCTGGAAACTGTATAATTAGTAATAATGCACTTTTAGCAGCTTTTAACAGCAGTTTGAGTGCCCCACCAAGCTAAGCACATCAAAGCAGTGAGATCACATCCACTGGTGTTAGAGGTATTTGGATGTTCAAATAAAAAACTCCCAGCTTAGTCAAAGTTTAATAAGATCACAACTCTGAACAAAGAAGTAAGGTAGGTATCAGTAGCACTTTTCTACCTCCATCCCCAAATTTAGCTAAAGATACTACATCTACTACTATAACCTTGCCAAGTCATTCCCATCAATACTTGAAGACAGGAATAGAAATAACAGGCCTGAAGTATCTGAGAGTTCTTCACATACACAAACTGATTCAGACTGACTGCACTAAGTGAAAAGGAAGCAAGGAAAGCATCTCTGGTTTATTTCCTGTTACACAAGGTCTTCAACAATGCTGACATTCCTCCTGAAGTTTAGGCTCACACGTGACTTCTGATAGCCTACTCAGCACTACTGGCGTTTCCTGAATCTTTTATGAACACACCACATATTATGTGAAGTGCACATCGGACGTAACTTTCTACAGAGAGACACTGTTCACCCGAACAGTTTTCTCAGAAATTGTGATCTACTCATACTTTGACTGTTCAGAGTTGCACTGAGCTCTCCTTTTCTATGCAGTACATAGCAAACTCACCAGAGATCAGAGTCCCTGTATATGAAAAGACAATGAAGCAAGAAAACATTACAATTATTGCAAAAAACCCTAACAAATAAAAGCATATCAAAGAATATCAAGTGTAACTCAAAGTCTGTTTTTATAACTTGGTGACTCAACAAAACTAAAGTTAAAACTATATTTTCTACTTGTAACTTAGATACGTTACAAAACTATTTTAAGATCACAACTTGGTTTACAAGTCAACTTGCAACCGAGTTTTGCTGTGTCCAACTATTGCGTATATACATTTCCAACTATTATCCAGTTTTAATACCCACCAAAAAAAAAACAGGATTCCTAAAGGGAAGTGAAAACTACCATGTGGGTTTAGTAATTTTCTTCTTGTTACAGTCAAACTTGTTGAGTCTGTTAAACCTTTTCATGAAGTTTTAGTTAATGTGTATCAGCTGCATACCTCAGGGCTTTACAAAGAATGTTGACTTCAGTGGAGATCTGATAGTAATATCAGTATAATTTCCCTGAGACTATTAACTTTATAAAAAAAAAAAAAGCAAAAAAAGTCTAAAAAGTGTATTTACAATTAGTTTCTTTCCATCTCAAAAATACAGGTGTACTCAGGGATATTTTCATTGTTGTTAGTGACTCAAGAATTATTTCAGACTTTTTGTTGATCTTAGTTGAGCTCAAGATTTGAGCCAACAAAATCTGTGCACTTTAATACTGTGCTATTCCATTTTCTTATAGTATTTTGCAGGAAATATTCGATGGCTACTACTGTCTACTTTTATGGAAAATCCTGCTAGAAATCCTGAATTTCACAAAGTCACTCAATTCAAGAATAACTGATTTTAACACAACTTTATAAACTTGTCTGAATGCACATAACACTTCAGAATCAACAGTGTTGAATACAATGAAAATAATTTTAAGGTTAATCCTTTCATATTAAATCATATTATTATTATTTTTTTTAAACGAATCTCTAAGTATAGGAATCACAACTTGCTCGTTCTGACTAAGTAACATAAAGGCTTCAGGCTGCCTAAGCACGGTTTCCAATACATCAGATTACCAGGTAGGACCATGCCAGATAGTCCAAACCTTGAGTCATGAAAAAAAAAATGAAGGAGCTGCTGAGGCAAACAGTCATCAGTGTTTGCAGAAGCTAAGCACTAGCTTAAAGAATTCACTCTTGTCCTACTTGACAGGTTCAGAGCTCTACATTTCTAAGTCTTTAGATATGTTACCTTTTTTATGTATTTACAAAATCCATGGCTTTTTTTTGTCTTACCATGAGGCTTTGTCAAAAGCAGCTCAGGTGCCAAGTAGTCTGGGGTCCCCAGGATGCGTTCACCTTCTACCGGGGCAGCTCCTCTTCTCACACTCTTTGGGGTCCTAAATGGCGTGCCAGCATCCCCCTGAAGAGGTGTCTTAAATCAGGCAAAAAGAAAATTTCATACGTCAAACCAAACTTCAACTCCCACCTTCAGGTTTAGAAAAGAATGTAACAGTTAAGAATTAAGTTTAAAGTCAAGTACATGTTACAAAACATACATCCCCTAAAAGTGCGTGTTAAACATGACCCCATTTCTATACAACTATCCTGAAGCATAAGGAATTAAACATTGCCTTTTCTTCAATAAACTTTTCCCTAAGCTCTTTTCCCAATGTCAAATCCCCAAATAACGTCTCAAAGTCAAAGTCCTCTTAATTTTGAATCTGAAAATGAATAATTTACTAAATATATTTTTATAATATATATAGTCAAAATAACATCCAATTTGAGCACAGGTCTGCAAATATTTCATAGATCTGTAAAATAATGCATGATTTGTTGCCTGTTAGAAACACTCAAAATATATTAAATGAGCTGTTCATTCTTTAACCTGTACATCTATGGGATGCATAATGCCTGCAGAGAAATTCTGCTCAGGTTAGACTTAATGACTGTTTAAAGCTACACAAACCTTCTGAAAGTATTTTGGGACATAATTTGAAGAAACATACACAGGCTAGAAGATAGGTCAGTAACTCTCCTAGCTGTAAGGCTGACTGCACTGACAGGTACCCACTAAGGCGTGGAAAGACTGTGAAAGTGTCTTACACAGACTCTTAATGTCTATTCATCATTATTCCCTGAATTCTAATATATCTGGTATAGTTTTGGTTCCAGCTTTGTTTTTAATAAAAATAAAAGATCAACTAATTATACTATACACCATACAGGCAGGCTACAGAATCTGCTACTAAACCAGAAAAAAAGGTAATCATTTGGTAGTGATGTTGTTTTAAAAAGCATCTCTAAAGTATAAGAAAACATATCATCCTGCTCAAGTCTGAAGCTAGAGAACTAGGTAACGCCATCTGCTTCTCAGAAGATGAAGTGCACTCTACCCTGACTCCAGTTCAGCTGAACACAAGATAAATTTCATGGTAGATTAAAGTTTTATGACAAAACAGAAGCAAGCAATTCAGACATGAGAAGTCTTTCCCCAAAATACTATTCTGAATGTCCCTTTTTCGTACACAGAATCATTCAACACGTTTAACAGAATTGCTAAAAAGCCTACATCAGCCTAAGTAACCAGACAAAGGCTTTATAAAGCTATAGCAAAAATAAAACAGGAAATATGGATCAACACACATACTTTTACCTTTCCCACATCTGAGATTCTAATTTATTGCAAGACAATTTATTTGCTATCAATAGGATTAACAGAATCAAAAGAAGTTCATAACCTGCAGACAGGTTTCACTGTTGATGAAAAAATGGGTGAAAAAAGGATAAAAAAAAAAAAAAAAAAAAGCAGACACGGTAGCAATTCCTAGCAGCTAAACACCATTTACAGACTGCCTTGGGGTGATGCACAGGAAGAAATATCAGAAGACATCCCCTTGCATCAGGAAACCTAAGAATAGCTCACAGAAAGCATCAGTGCTCTAAGAGGTGGATGAGACAGTAGAGCAGGCTTTTTGTACCAGCTCACTGTAAGAGCAAAGGATTTCTCAGAGAGGCAGGCAGATGTGTTGAACAATTTGCAAGCCATGAAGCATAGTTACTGCTAAGCTCTCATAGGAAATAAAGTCTTCATCCACAAAAGTGCAATGCGTGAAAGCACATCAGCAAAAGCTGTCTTTGGCAGATTAATTCAAAGTACATCAATTTTTCCTTAATTAACAATTTAAAGAACAATTCCAGGTCACTAACGTTTGATGCCCATGCCAAGTTTCTACGTGTCTCCTTGTATACCTGATAGACTCTGTATGGTCTTCCTTTCTGCAGCGGCGTAATAGCTGTTGGATAGGAGCCACTACAAGCTGGTGAAAGATCCATTATGTCTAAGGAAGCCATGCTACAGGGCTCAGACACATTGGAGATATTAATTGGACTATTGTAACTTCGAAAAACAACAGCATTTTTTTTGAAGAGATTCAGAGTTTTCATCGTCTTTTCTGAAGGAGAAAATAATGTGTCAGGGTAGGTTTCTTCAGTGTGTTTTTGGTGATTATCCTGTTCAAGATGTAACACCTTGCAGTCCTGGACAGTATCTGCTTTCTCTCCATTTTCTGAAGCACCTTGGGAGCTAGGTGATGTTATTAGCATGCCTTCTGCTTTTGGTTCCTCAAAGGAGAGATCTTTAACACTTTTATCCAAATCTAAAAGCTGTTTTTCCAAATGGCTTTCTGTAACAGACATTTCAGGAAGGGATAAATCAGAATCTGCACTCAGGATTCCTAAAGGTTTTTCATCATCAGCGCACAAAAAACTTGAGTTCATGTACTCCTTTTTATCATTTTCATGATTTGCATCCAGATCACACATAAGATTTTTGGCTATATTTGGACTGACTGATTTTTCTACTCTTTGCTGCCTGACAATGAAACGATTAATTTCTTCCTTGCTTTTGCAGGTCTCCTGCAGGCACCCATCATCACCGAGCATTAAGGATTCAATTTCTGTTGTCAGACCTGTCCTTTTGTTTGCTGGAAATTCGAAGATCTGACAGCCACGTTTATATTCTGCATTGCTTTTCTTAATGTAGTTAAGCTCCTGACAAGGACTAGTGTCAACTAGTTCAAAGCTTCTTTTCACACCTGGTTTTTCAAAAATTTCTTCTTCTTTGATAGGTTTGATACGATCATTCAGGCACAAAGGTGACTGTTGGTAATTGGAAGTTTCTTCTGCAGCTTCATTAGTCATCTCTCTTCTACTTGCAATGAGTTTTTCTTCCCAACTCTTGTTTTCACAAAGACATTTTCTTACTACGCCTTTCACATCCAGTGTGGTCACAGGAGTATCTGTTATATCAGAATGCTCAGTTCCCAGCTTCTGCCTGCTGCCAGAATCATTGCTGCTGATGGGAGAAATAGCAGACTCCAATTCTTTTTTCTTAAGAATTTTAGTATCTTTGCTATTCAGCAATTCTATATTAGAAAGGAGATCTGACTCGCTGGCACTTGTTTTGCCTTTTGTAGAAAGTAGTTCATCTTCAGTTTGCTGCAAATGAGCACATTAAGTTTTGAGTATCAAGAAAAAGATCACAGCATTACAGAAATGTGTCCTTGAAAATACCTTATTTCTACTTTAGTAAAGAACAGCAAGTTAGCAAACATTACTAGTGGTTATGAAGAATTAAGTACTGATAAAAAGCAATACATACTGCATCAAAAAAGAAAACCTAAAAACTAGACTAGGGAACAGCTTTCATAGTTTGGCTTTAAGGAAGAAATAAGCTTGCTATACTACAATGGAAAATGCAGTGTTTTTAAAAGGCTACAGATAAAGAAATATAGTGATTAAAATTCTATTATTTGTGACTATTTTATTTTATTTTATTTTATTTTATGTTAAACCACAGGAAAAGAACACACCATAGCAGAAAACCCTGCCATGCTACCCTGACTGCCCTGTAGCATGTTATACTCTAGAGACGAAAGAAAAAGGTAGTATTACTACTATTTTGGTAAAAAAACTAGAAACAAGGCCTTGAGAAATGGCTAGATAAAATATGTTTAAAACAACTTATAATACTTCGTTTTGCGTGATCCAAATAGGAATTGCAGCAAGGGGCTAAATAACACCCAAACATTTTCCTTTAGGTCTCATATTTGTCTGTGCAGAATTTCATTAACAGTTTAAAATAAGAAAAAGGATTTTGCATCAGCTATGACTCGTAAGTACTAGTGGGAGGCTAGCTGGTACAAAACCCTTCAGTAATATAAATGGTAACAGACTGAAGTGTTCTTTTGTACATTTTTTTCTCCTCTTCAAGATCTGTCTTCTGAAGAAATTCTTCAGCCTGCATGCTGAGATAATAAAACTAGAGGTATACAGTCAGCTTTCAGAGAGCCAGAGCTGGCAGCATTGCCTAACTTATGGGGAATAGAGCTAAACCACTGCCTTCCAGCCAAAGCCTTCTTTCACCCCTTTACAGGAGGTTAAATGGCCTTTGCTTTTCCTGTTATATTGCATAGGACTACTATTTGCCTAGGGATAAAAAACAGTAACACTAGACAGATCCCAAACTCCCATTCAACAAGGATTACAACCAGCATTCCTTCTCCAGCAGGAAGACTTCTCTGCAGTTGAAGTAACTGGGAAGAAGTAGAAGAGAGGCGCAATACCGCACATAGAAGTACGAGCTGTTTTAATTTGTAGTGGTAAGATGAAACAGTCCTGACCTCTACACCTCTCTCCCACCTGGGGCTGCTGTAGCATTCTGATTCCACACTTGACAAGTATGTGTGGGACTGACTACTGGCACTGGAGGTACCAAACCTTTTTCTTGACTGCAGCAGAGCAGGAGTTAAACTTCTCACTGGCATCACAGGAGTTAATGGAGAAGTATCAAGACCTTGAGAGAAAAAAAAGTATATATAGATATTTATATTGGTACACACACAAACCTTGATCCGAATACACAGACAGTATAAACTAGCTTCACAGTATGTCAAGATTGCTTTAATATTGTTATATTAAATCACTTTCAATTGAAATACACAAACAGCTGATGCAATTTGTGTAAAATCCTAAAGAGAAATCTTAAATTAAATAGATGTGCATTAAAAAAAAATAAAAGATGGCACTAGTAATTTAGCTGAAGAAGCGTTAGTACTTAAGTACTGGAGGAACGCTAGACAACAAGACTACTAGAAATACACCTTTATCAAATGGGTCCAAACTATTCATGTAGGATTAAAAACCAAAAGACAGATCATGTGATAGCAAAGAGCGTTACTCAATACAAGATTTGGTATATTTACCTGTTTTGAACAGTTTAGCTGAAAGAGGGGTATTTTCCTTTTCTGCCATAGACAGGGGAGAATCCACTCCATGTGGACTGTCAGATGCAATACTTGAATTGGGATTGATTGGCATTTTCATTCCAACAGGAGTATACTATCAAACAGGAAGAAACATACTTAGAAGTTAATGGAGCTGGAGCAATGCATCCAAGATTGTCAGTGTAACTTTATACATTCTTTATTAAATTTGCAATGGAGCTTAGCCATGAGCATTTACCCAACTTTTATTTTTAAATCACAATTGGTACTCAGCATTTTGAAATATAGTCCAAGGGAACCACTCCAGAACTTCAAGGTACTGAAAAATATACAGGTCATTCTACCAGCTGGCAGAAGCAGCGTAAGAATAGCCTTACTCTTCCTATTTAAGATAAGGAAAATAGAATAACAAAGTACTTCAAAACCAATAAAAATTACTTACAAAACCCAGAGAGCTGATAAGAGACAACAGTTGTCCTGGAGTACGTGAGTAGTCATGTTTTGGCTTTGCCATTGATGGTGTAGTAAGGATATCTATCATGTTTATCTCTACAAATGGATTTGAAAAAATTAAGCAGGTCAGGTTCACATTGACTATTCAGCTCTATTTTCTGCTGCTTGAAAACAGCGTGTTCAGATGCTGAAGCAGTGACCTACAATCTTCTGCTAGACTAGGCTCACTTCTTCACCCTCTTCCTGCACCTTCCATTTATTTGGGTAAGCTCCCAGTTCAGTTCGGAAATTAATATACGCAAGGAGCGAGAAACATGCACTGAAGGACAGACATAAGCAGAGATACACCAAAAAAAGGCCAGAATTACTTGTTCACTCAAGTTCTCTTAGTGGACTTCATAGAAACTTTGAAATCCATATCCCTTAAGAGAAATGGCTCCAGATCATTTTTCATACACCTTTGTCCCAAAGAATAAAAATCAGCCTCAGAGTGCAGTGCACAGAACACTTTACTAGCATGCACTCTGTCAGTACTTACCTACTAAAAATCAGGTATTAGTGTAGTGTTTGGACTTATTTAATTGAAAGCTGTCTGCTACAAGGATGCAAAACATTCAAGAACACAGAATTGCGTCCAAAAAACACACTAAGAAATATAACCAATAGGATAGGGATAAATCTTACCTCTGTTCAGAGTAACTCTGGAAAGCCCAAAATCTGTCAGCTTTATGTGGCCCTCATTAGAAATGAGCATATTGTCTGGCTTCAGATCCCTGAAGATACGAATATAGTTGCAGTCAGCAAAAAGACGACCACGCAACATTATGGAAGTCACCCAACCAAAACCACATAGTCCAAAACACTCAGAATTATTGCTGAGTCTCAGCAGTAAGGTGCCTCTCAGCCAACAAAAAGTTCCAGTTGAAAGGATACAGCAATAGCTAAAAATGTCTTGCTCTAAATATTGGACAAATGTCTCGGGGCTTGTAATGCCACCATGCGTGTCACATGAGTTGCACATTCCACTACATGGAGGGTTTAATAAGTGCTCTTAATGAGGACTACCACAGCAACATTTACTGTTATATGTAGTTCCTATATATGAGAACAAGCATGATAAGCAAACCCCTACAAGAGTTCATGTGTTCTCTGCAGCTCTACTGAGTACAGCAAAGAACGCTGTCACAACCGGGAGGGCATTACAGCAGTCATTGTCCTTTGTCCTATAGTTATGTACTTGCAGTATCCAGAGGGTTCCTGAACTAGCAGGCACTCAAGTGACACAAGGAGAGAGAAAGGGGTCTTAGCAGGCAGTAAAGCTGTGTTAATACAGGAATGCACTGGGGAATGGAGGGAAGGAGAAAACAGTGTATATTTTTGTACTAACGTCCATGGATAGGTTTTATTTTTGGTGATTTATGACATTGCTGTAACATACACATGCAAAAACCTTCAGGAAACTCTAGCAAATGAGGCAGCTGTTACTACAGAATGGCTGTCAGTATGTGTTTGAGGGGAAGATGGAGACAAACTCCACTGACATTAAGTTCTCAATTGCAAAACAAACAAACAAAACCCAAAAGTTCTATTTGGTTCTAGCTACTTTGCAGTGGTTTTGCTGAAAGGGATCATAACTTCTTCATAACCAATACATAGTTTTTCTCCAATAAATAGGAAATAGCAGTCTGGATGCATAATGAGCCTGTTTTGCACAGCAATACTTGGCTAACACAAAAGATGGATCAAAACACGACTTTAGTCAGAAATCCATCACTGGCAATGCATGCCAATGATCCCATACTGCCTGAAGAGCAGATTGCAGTTGCTGTCTGCCATATGCATTCCACAAAGAACAGATCTGCAGACTGCATGTCACAACTTACACCATAAATATATGATATTACATAACAAATACAAATGAATAAAACAGACAGGCATCCTGAATGCATTCATCCTCAGTAGCAAAGTAAAGGCCATACAGTGAGTGAGTAATGACGGCAATTACATTTATTCAATGAAACTCATGATTCATTCTACTTCGAATTAACAATAAATAGTAAACCACAATAACCACCATTGTTAAACTAAAAGAAAAACCATAGTTTACTTACTTTTTATTTTCAAATGATTGAAAAACCCAAACTACCAATTCTTTTTTATTAAAAAAAAAAAGTTTTACCTGTGGATTATCCCATGTCTGTGAAGATAGTCAAGAGCCAACGCTGCTTCAGAAATATACTTCACAGCCATTTCTTCATCAAAATATCCATAGATATGGAGAAGAGATTTGACATCTCCACCAATAAGGTACTCCATCACCTGCCATACAAATATTTTAAATATAACATTAAAATATATTTCAAATTTGCAAGTAAAATAAAAAATAGCTTTCACCTCCAGGAAAGTATTGTTTCAAAGCGCAGAAGCTCATAGAAGCTTCCCCATGGTAGCTTATTTCATGTTCCCACACAAAGCTTTTTACTTGGATAAGACAATACACATTAGTATTTTATACTACTTGCCTAGCTTACTTTCTGTAATAAACTTTTTAATTAACTTCCAGAGGATTTTTAATTTATTTAAAATAATTTGCAAAGCACTTCCATGATACTCAAGGCCTGAACACCCAAACCTGTTTTTAGACATTAATATAGTTCTGCACTCTATTTTCAACACTACCATAGAACACCACAACCATTTATTTACTCACCAAATAAACATTATTAGCTGACTGAAGCGAGTAATATAAGTGCACAACAAAAGGACTTTTACTAAGAGCTAATGCATCCCTCTCTGCCTGGACCTGGTGAACCATGTTTTTATTGATCATGTCTGCTTTTTTCATCACCTGGAGAGGGGAAAAAAAAAAATCAAGTAGATGAATACATTATTTCCCTATGCCAACATGCAGTTCCAATTAATTTAGCTTTATACTTCAAGCTTGCGTGTGTATGTCTATATATATAAAGCTGTAGTTTCATATAACAATTCTAAGATTGAAGTTATTAGAGAACATTTTTCATTGGTCCTTTTAATTCAGTATGAATGGAAGTCTGCATACTCCAGAAAATTAGTGAATAGTTTGTATCTGAAGTTCAGCTGCCCTGAGCTATCCATTTTGTCTGCAATATATGCAACTTAGAACCAGGAAAAAATATCCAATATTTAGAAATAGCATTGCTGACCAAATCTTCCCATCTCTTCTGAGGATGCAATAACTGACCCAAGGCTTGAAAGCAGAGTACAACAGTCAGCCATTCTATCTTAGTATCAAGAGAAAGACAGCAGCTGCTACTAGCCTCCCATTCCCAACTTGACAGAGAAAGCAAGTGAGTTTGTAGTTAAAGTTTACAATCAAGTCATCCAACAAACATTAGTTTTCTTGGGAAGAATTCTCAAAAGGCAGGCAATTTATGATGAAGAAATAAACAACTACGAATTAGGTTCTAGTTTGTGTACTGAATTACTCCGCTATATATTGATGCCCACTCAATATTAATCTTAAAAAGAGGCATAATAGCACAGTTGATAGGTATTTAAGTATACGTTGAATATTCATTGGAAATTCACCTACCTCCAACATCTTTGGATGGGATATGTATGGTGACATTAAAGCCAATTTAATTTCTCTTCTACATGCAACACAAACTATAGGTTGAGTCCACAGCTATCACCACTATTATTGGATTTGATAACATATCAGCAAGACCTAAGTGCAATTTGATACCTTCTGCATAAGCATTAACCTTAACTGTACAGGTATTCAACATATGAATTTTGTAGCTGTGAGCAATCCATAAGCTTCAATGCGATACGGATAAAGGCTTTACAAAGAAGTTTTTCAGTCATAATACTCATAATAAAATTTTGTACGATGCTAAAGCAACATAATTGAACCACTTTTCATGCAACACAAATGACAGCTGAATCCACACCTACCATCATTATTAAAGTTGATACAAATAAAAACAAAAAGACATATACAGAATGTATCAAATTACATTTATAAAATGTTGACCTTAGTTTTACAAATATTTGGCACACGTTAAATGTTGTAGCTGCAATCAATCCATAAACTTCATTGCAACAGCAATAAAGGACTTCACACAGAAGCTTTCTGGTCATAATACATAATAAAGCGATGTAAGTAGACGTGCATTGCTTTGAAGTATAAAACTCCTTGTTTTACGCTTGCTTTGTGTGCTACGAGCCTGGTTGTTAACCTTTGACTGCAAAACGAAGTTTTTACGACGGAGAAGCCTGTTTTTTTCACCCTGCGCGCGTTAAAAACGCAACAGCTGTCTTCTTCAGACGTGCCCTACAGCGGGGCCGCCCTGCCAGCTCCGGCAGACCGACACTGCCGGCCGGTGTGCGGGCAGGGGCCGAGCAGCTCCGGGGCTGAGGAGAGCCCCGGGGGCCGCCCCCTCACCTTGACGGCGTACAGCCGGCCCGCCTTGCGGCCCAGGTACACCTTCCCGAAGGCGCCGCGGCTGATGGGCTTCACGATGGTGAACTCCTCGATGGAGGGCGGCCGGGGGACCTCCACGCGCCTCGGGCCGGCGGCGGGGCCGTTATTGTCGCCGTCATTGCCGCTGTCGCTGTCCTTGTCGCCGCCCGGCCGCGCCTCAGCCGCCGGCTCCCCCATGCCCATGGCGTCCCGCGCCCATTCGAAATGGCGGCCCGCCCCGTGACGTCACCGCGGGGAGGTGGCTGTAATGGCGGCCGTAACAGCGGCCGTAATGGCGGCCGGGGCGGGGCGAGGCGAGGCGAAGAGAAGAGAAGAGAAGAGAAGAGGCTGAGGGTGGCGCTGTGGGCAGCGCCCTCTGTGTGGCGGCCGCTGCTCCGTTGACCCTGCTCGAGTCCGCCCCGTCGATGTCTGGTGCTAACGGACTTTTTTAGTTTTGCATCTAACCACAGGGAATGGTTAATAAGTGGTTATGAATGGTTAACAAGTGGTTGTAACTGGCAGGAGCTGAATAAAGTTAGCTGAAACGCTCTTTCAGGGTTTCACAGAATCATAGAATTTTCTAGGTTGGAAGAGACCTCAAGATCATAGAGTCCAACCTCTGACCTAACACTACCAACCTCTGACCCAACACTGACCTAACACTAAACCATATTGCTAAGTTCAACACCTAAACGTCTTTTAAAGACCTCCAGGGATGATGACTCCACCACTACCCTGGGCAGCCCATTCCAATGCCTCACAACGCTCTTAGTAAAGAAGTTTGTGAGCATTGTGTCGGTGCTCACATTTTGGAGTGATGGGTACCTGAAACCATCTCTAGCCGGACCTGGTGTCTTGTAATCTCCTCATTATATAGCCTTCCTGGCTTTACCAGAAGCACCCCTTGAAAATTTACTCATTTTCATATATAGCAATTGAAAAACAAAACAAAACAAAACAAACACACACACACACTTTGTTCTGTTATTTGGTGCTGTGGTTTTTGTTGCTGTTTGCTTGCTTGTCTTTTAATGAAAATTCATCATGACAAACTGTCAAAGGTCATTGTTAGTCCATGTAACTAACAATTGACATCTAGATTTCTCATTTGGAAGTAGGTTGGTACTTGGAGGAACAGATATCCTCTGGATTTCTGTGGGGTGCTAAAGGTGTAGGAATTTGAGTGCAGTGTGACCCATGAAGGAATTGGAAGGTAATACTTATTTGGAAAGAAACAATGGATTTTGGTCCCACATGCTCATTTCCAGTTATGCTTCATGCATGTGTTTTCTCATACTTGCATATTGGCAAGCAGCAAGAGTGAAGTGGTGCAGTCAGGATCACTCGTGTGCCACAGCACGCTGCCTGTCAAATCCCCCCTACCACTGCTGAGTCTTTGCTGTTTCTTGGCTTCCTCTGGACTGCTGATGACAAACTGCTTTCTGGACAGCTTTTCTATAGTTAGGAACTACTATGTTGTGATCTGTTGTCTCCCTCCAATTCTTGTTACTAAATGCTTCCATTATCTGCAGGCAGGGTTGCCGTGTGTTTGTTTGCTTATCTCCATCGCTACATTCTGCCTTCCCGTTGTGGCAGTAGGAACGGGAATAGCATATGCAATGCACTGTGACCTTGTGGCCACCCTCCTGTTATCAGAGTATGGCCTTCTGACAAGCCATCTGTGATATAGCCTTATCAGAGCAGAGGCCTGCTGCTCTTAGCTTTAAGGTCATCAGTGTTTACCAGTTTTACTGCTCTCAGCTGTTCTCTTGTTTTTTTATCCTTCACCCTGTTGTTTTTATTTTGCCATCGCATTTACATTGCCGTTAATTAATTTCTACTAATCATAATTGCTCTGTTGCAGTCTCAGCATTGGCAAAGAGCTGTCCCCATAAGAGGTTAACACAGAACTATGGGTCTCTAGTAGTTTGTCGCTCTTTCAGATGCATATATCACTTATAATCTGACACTGCACACTGAAGTCTTGCTTGTACTTGTGGAGTGAGAATTTAATGTGCAAATGTACAAAACAACCTTTTAAATAAACTTTCTCTAATGTTATCAGTTTATCATTGCCTGTGTTTGTCATTTAAATCTTTAGCATTAGTTTAGCTGTCATCTCTTGTCAGCAGCAATTTCATCAGAAAAGCAGAGCTGACAGCAAGGAGGGATTGCCCCTTTTGGTGGCATCATATTCTGATAGTCACACCCCTGGTGGGACCATATAGTCCATCAGCATGTTACTCCACTGAGCCAGCCTGGGAAAGGACCCTCCCTTCCCCTGAAGCAATATCAGCTGGGTGGAAAACTAAATGGGGTGGATCCACATGAATGTTGATTGCCTTTTTTATATTGTTGGGTGAGGTTTCTACCAAATCATCTTGCTGACACGTCTGTTATCCTGTGAGTGCTAGTGGAAAGCAGCTGGGAGATGCACGAAAGCTAGGGGAGGCAGCACTGTGGCTTTGCTGATGCAGATCTGTGTAGGCAGGTGTGGAACAGTGCTCTTTGTGAGGAAAGGAGCAACAATGAAGAACAGCAGTTCTTCACAGCAGTTCAGAAAGAAAGAAAATGATAGTAAAGAACCAAAAGTAATTGGTGTGAACATGGAAAGATAGCACAAGGTAGAGAAAAAAGATCAATATCAAAGATGAATTTCTGCCATATATAGATGTGCCCATAACATTTAGATTACATTCTAACTGAATGTGAGTAACAATATTTAGGTTATTGATACATATCTTAATTTGTAAAAATTTCTTTCTATATGCTGTGTACTCCAAGTTCCTGAAAAATATTTTCATTACTTCAGAATGGCATCGCAGGTAGTGGTTGTAAGGGCTGTCACCTTACCAACAGACAACCTTGCAAAACCCTTGGCCATTGATTGTCTGTGGGGCTGACATGTTTTTAACACCTTTTCCTTAAATACCAAAGTTAACTTCTGATCTTGAACCATGTAGACTCAACTGTAATAGGGAATGTGAACTTCGGATAGGTGTGCAATATAATGGTACCAGAGAGGGCCTAAACAGGCAGGGTTAGGTACCAGTGGCAGCCTGGAGCAAAGAACAGGTTAACTGCCTGAGTGTTTTTGATGTAGCAGCTCCAGCGGGCCGTGTGGCCAGCATTTAGTCTGGAGAAGACTCGGGGGAGACCTTACTGCTCTCTATGACTACCTGAAAGGAAGCTGTGGGGAACTAGGGGTCAGCCTCCTCTCACAGGTAACCAGTGATAGGACTAGAGGGAATAGCCTCAACGTATGCCAGGGGAGATGTAGGTTGGAAATCAGTAGACATTTCTTCTCAGAAAGAGCAGACAGGGGTTGGGGTGGGTTGCCCAGGGAGGTGGTGGAGTCACCATCCCTGGGGTGTTCAAGGAAAGATTGGACGTGGTGCTTGGGGACATGGTTTAGTGGGTGACATTGGTGGTAGAGGCATGGTTGGACCAGATGATCTCAGAAGTCTTTTCGAACCTTAATAATTCTATGATTTTCCTCCGTGTCTAGGGGCTACGCTGCTGCTGCTGCCGCCCTCATGAGCAGCCCTCCGCGCACATCCCGCTCTGGGCACCACACGGCTGCAGCCTGGAGGCAGCGTTCAACCCAGCTCCGTAACCGTTTCTTTGCCCAGCCGTCCTGTTATTTGGGCTCCAGATGACGCCAGCAGCGCCCCCAGGAGATTAGGAAGGTTCGGGCCGGTTGCCGGGCGTCCCTTTTGTGAGGGAGGAGCGCTCCGGAAGCTTTTCCACCATCAGCCGCTTCCGAGGGCGCTCCGGGGCTGGGCGCTGCCGGCGGCGGCAGGGGGCGGCCATTTTGCCGCCGAGCCGGGCCCTCCTGCTGCCGGGGCCGGGAGGAGGACGGGGGGGGGGGGCTTGTGGTGGTCGCCGCCGCCGCCGCCCCTCGGGAGGATGTTTTCCTTCTCCACCGTGCAGCCTCAGGTAGGGATGAGGTGGGGGTAGAGTGGAGAGCAGCCGCAGGCCGCGCTGCCCCTTCGCGGTGCGGGGATGGCGGTGTTTGGGGGCTGTGGGGAGCGGCTGGGGGAGCGCAGCGCGTTTTTGGGGGGCAGAAGGGGGGCGTGAGGGGGCTGCGGGGCGCTGGACTGCCCTCAGAGCCGCGCCGGGTGTCGATCGTGGCTTGTGGGGGAGAAGGGCCCCACAGAGCACTCGGTATTTCGGGGGGGTGAAAAGCCCCACAGACCTCTCAGTACTGGGGGGAAAAGGGTCCCCAAACCTCTTGGTATAGGGGAGAGGAGGGCACGGTGTCGCCTCGTGGGATCAGAGGTGAAGAGCTAACCTTAGAGGTGTCATCTCTTATTACTCGTTTTTGGGGTGGAACCGAGGGGGTGCAAGCTGAAGCGAAGTTGTGCAGTTAGTTGTGGCGGGTTGCTGTGGAAGTTAAAAAGAAACAGCGTAGAAATGTGGTGAGGTGGTGAAGGAAAAGTCCTTTAATTATTTGTTATAGGAAAGGGTCTGGATGCAACTGGAAAGGCATCTTTCGTCAGTCAGGGGGTAGGATGGGACTGGTGGGTTGCACTGGCTTTGGTCTGAGCCAGTGGTTTTATTCTCCTGCTTTGTGCTAGCGGGATTAGCGCATTACAGTGTCCGCTGTGGGCTTTGATAGCTCCTTCCAGATGTGGGGACTGTGCTAATTGCCTTGCTGGTGCCCTGAAATTGAGAGGAGGCGTGATGCAATTCTCAGGAATGTGTCACTCTGCACTTTTGTAGTGGGAAATACGTGAGGAGGCCTGGTGAGTCACTAGGGTGCCAGCTTTGGCTTTATAGTTTTACTGCAAGCTTCCGGAGTTTAACTCTGCACAACTGATTCGCAGGGACTTTTCACGTCATGCAGCTATGTCTGTGTTCTTTTTCGTCTTTTGTATTCGTGTCTATGGTGTTTTATGTGTTTTGTAATCATAGCAGGGGCTTAATCAGGAATGGCAAGGCGCTGTTCCAGCAGCAGG